GGCTGAGACCTGCCCTGTCCAAGCAGAGCTGTGCAACTATATCCTCATTTGCATCTTTACCGACCAATCAGAGCAGCTCCATAATAACCAATCAGGATGTACAATTCCAACCCATCAGGACAGTGCTGTGTGGACCAATCAAATTGTGCAAATTTGGATTTCTCATTTGCACAGAGCGAATGATCAACCATTTGTGCAATTCTTATCATTGATATTACTATCATTATCATTATTATTACTATGAAGGATTGTATCCCATTTGCATAAGGAACTAATGGAAACAGTCATGTGATTCCTTTCATTCCTAGACTAGGCCCTCAAATTGTCCTCTTGCGATTCATTTTCCTCTTTCAGGGTAACCCTAAGAGTTTATTTTCTTTTCATTTTACCAGGAAAAAAAAATGTTGGGAGGAGATATGCCTGAATCTCAAAACTCTAATCATGAACCTGGAACTATGGTCTCCCTTTCAGGTCTCCCTTATGGTCTCTCTCTGGGGAAAGAGAGAGAGAAAGACAGACAGACAGACACGCTCATGCGCGTGCGCCACCTGGAGGCAAGGAACCCTGTAGTTTGGCGGATGTCCAGGGGGTGGAGCCAGAGAGTTGCCTCCACTTTGCTGACCACTGACGAGGGCTATCAGCTCACCCAGACAGACAGGAGGTCGAGGAAAGACTGATGACATCTGCACAGCTTTCTGTGGGCTTGGGGGTTTTTTTTTTCTTAATTCTGTGCTTATGAAGTGCACCTGAGTTAGAGTTCTGCCATCACAGAACATGCCACAAAATTGACATTAAAAAGAATGAGGAAGAAATGGATTTTTCACTTGAATTTTACATTCCTCTGCTATGGAATGTTTGCCTCTGGACTTTTAAAAAGCAGCAGAATTTGTCCTGGGGTTCTTATGTCGATAGAAGGACATTCCAGGGAAACTCTCATATTTTTGTTTTCTCCTCACTGGGGAAAAGGGTAGCTTGGTTTCCAGAAAACAAATTATCTGTCTCTTGTTCTCTCTACCCTCTCACCAAGTCCCTTGGTACCTTGCTGGATTCTTACACCTGTGCAGAAGCGGTGTCAAGTCTAAGAGAAAAAAATTCCCCCAGGAACAGCCACTTAGCTCCAGAATCCATTGCATAGCAACCTGCCCCTTGGTTTTTTGTTTGTTTGTTTTTTTTAATGGTTCCAATCAATCATCTTTTTTTCCCGCCTTTTTTTTTTTCCTTTTTAGTTCCTGGTGTACAAAACAATGTAATAGTTAGACATTTACATCCCTTGGTTTTTAAAGTGATATTCTGTTGATCCTTTTCAGTTACAAATCTTCCAAAAAATATTTCAGGGTGAGGGTAGGAGCTACAGGAAACAGCATGAACAAGAAAAAAGACGAATTTGAGTAAGGTTATCACTGGGCAAAGAACTCGGAACAACATGAAAAGGGTGGCAAAGCTGTTGGCACCGAAACAGGACAGAGAG